TCACCTGCCTGCCCCAGATAGCTATTTTTTCAAATGTGGTTGGTCTCAGATAAATTCTTTCAGAATCCTTGGAAATACAAATTCCTAGACACTTTTAGAGTGATCCTGGGGTGGCTTCCAGGAGACCTCATTTTCCAAAGCCCTGTAGAGGAGTTGTTGTCGGGTGTATCTGGTCAATTTAGACTCAGAGACACAAGTGACAGGTTTTCAAGGTGACAGGGATGAGCTGCCTCATCTAGAGGCCATCGCCTTTATGGAAGCAGACCTCCAAGGTCTTCTCTGGCAGAACTGGGGGGTGGCTTCAAACTGCCAAGCTTTCAGTTAACCATTGTTTCCCCTGAGTTTTGTATGAAGCTCTGTAAGTGACTTTGGTAATAGGTGCTCTGATTCAAAGATCTCAACAAGCTAGATTTGACACAGTGACTGTAACGGGGGGCTCTTGCACATCAGAGCTAGTGAGGATGGCACAGGATAGGGCGAGGTGCTGATCTGTTGTTCTTAGGGTTGCTATGAGTCATAGGTGATTCAATGGCACCAGACAACAACAAGGTGGATGCTGGTGGAGAAGAGTACTGAATGTTCCATGGACTGCCAAAAAAACAAGCAAATCTGTGTCAGAGAGAGCACAACCAGGGCGCTTCTGAGAGGCAAGGATGATGAAACTTGACCTCATACATATACTTTGGTTACATTGTCAAGAGGGATTGTTCCTTGGAAAAAGGCATCAAGTTGGAAAAGATAGAGGGTTAGTAAAAGAGAAGAAGACCCTCATTAACATGGGCTGAAACAATTAGTGCAAAAGTGAGCGTACGCATGTGATTGTTAGGAGAGGGCAGCAAAGGGCAACGTTTCCTTCCATCTGCTGTTCAAAGGGTAGCTAACTACAACCACAGCAGGGCAGATAGAGGTTCTGAGATCACCGTTAATTTTGACAACCTCCGTTTGATCATTTTCATTCTGCAACTGGGTCATCACACTTGTATGGACAGTATGCCACGTCCAGAAAGCAAGAGAACCCCAAGGGTTGACATGAGGACAGTCACCATAGCGGCTGTGGTTCACAACCATCCCAAGAGAGGGCAGTCCACAGAGAGAGGACAGCAAAGGCAGCCCTTGAAGGAATAAAAAGACACTGTGCCTGGAGATGTGGGAAATGGTGCTTTATAAAAATAAATAAATAAATAAATAAAAATAAAAACCATAAACAGCCTCTGGAGGAAATGGGAGCAATGGCCCACAGGCTGAATATGAATATGCATGGCTCTGAACTCTTGACGATGGGCTCACAGGAGCACACGCTCAGAGCACTCTGTGAGAGCTGGGCTCTGCTCACAGCTGAGCTTCTAGAGCTACGCTGTCAGGTAGCCATCTGCCAACTAGCCACATGTGGGTATTTAAATTTAAGTTTAATGAATTAAAGTTAAATACAATTAAAAATGCCATTTCTCAGTTGTGCTGGTCACGCTTCACATACTCCACAGTCACACGTACACAGCAACAATTACAGAACATTTCCATCAACATAGAATGTTCCAGCAGTTCCTGGGTGACCCAGATGGTTCAGTGCTTCTTCACTACTGATGGAAAGGTTGGAGGTTCAAGTCCATCTGGAGACATCTAGGAAGAAAGGACTGGGGATACACTTGTGAAAAATCAGTCACCGGAAACACAATGGATCACAGTTCTAGTCTGCACATAGGGTTCACCAGGCGTCAGAGTTGACTTGATGGCATCTGGACGGTGATGTTCTAAAGAGATCAGAAAACTTAATCATTACCCTCTTCTGTTCACGCCACTCAGCTGCCAGCTATTAGTAAAGAAATGATGCTCCAAACATACAGGTTTCGTTCTAGCCACTGCAAATAAAGTGACAATTGGAATAAAATGGTTCCCGTGGCATTTTTCTGGTTTCCCAGTCCATGTGAAAGTTGTGTTTACACTATACTGCAGTCTACCAAGTGTGTGATAGCGTTATGAAACAGTTTAAAGGATCCCAAGAATTACTTCCCCAAACGTGACCCAGAGACAGAGTGAGCACAGGCTGTTGGAAAAATGGTGCCCATCGACTTGCTTAATGCAGCGCTACCACAGAATTTCAATTTGTAAAAATATACAATATCTGCACAGCACAATAAAACAAGTGCAATAAAACAAAGTCTGCCGTGTTTCGGGATTGGGCTGTATGACACAGCTCCTGGGGTGAATTTCTAAAGTCCCTTCTGAGGCCTGGTCCCATCCGATGAGCCCAGCCTTGGGCACTCCTTGCTAATTTAGGCGTGTCAGTCAGGCTACAATTGCCTACTGTTCACAACATTCCTGCAGAAAAGCTTCCTTTTTCATTTCTCCCTGTAAGCCATGGGTTTCCTCCTTTGAGCCTGCCTTACCTACTGTAAGGTTTCTTAAGCTTGGTTATATAGCAGGCACACAACTTCAGCTGGCTCTGGGAAGCAAAGGTTGGCACCTCTCCTGTTCCCTCCCACGGCTCACTGAACACGCTTCCAGTTCATCTAAGCACAGGCAGCTCTGTAATCCCAGCATCACTCAGGGCTCACCTCTCTTCCCATTTGCTTGCTTCTTGCCCTCTCCTCAACCCCATTCTCGAGCAGGAGTTAGCAACAACCTTGGGAAGCCAGCCCCTCATGTCCACTCCTCCTGCTGCCCTCTGCCTCTCCTGTAGCCTCTTCCCTTAAACACCTTCTTCAGCATCTGCCTGTGGGCGAGGCCCTGGGCTCTGAGGCTGGAATAAATAAGAAAGGATCTTTTTTCCCTGGCAATGTTTAGAAGTTTGGGCTTCTCTTTATGGTGATGGGAAATTTGGCAACAGATATTGGTGACAGTTGCATAACATTATCATTGATGTCACTTAAATCCTACAGGTGAAAAGTGTTAAACTGGTAAGTGAGATATACATAGATGCAGATAGATATTTACATGAATAAAAAGATAAAATAAATGAAGACTCAGAATTATACACTTAAAAACATTGAAGGGGGGATCATCATTGTCTATGTATTTTTTATATTTTTTTTGTCTGTATTTTTAACAACAATAAGAAGAAAACAAGAAATAGAAGAGAGCTACCCAGAGCACCAAATGCACACACATGTGGGGAGATTGTATAGAGGTTATAGACACGGATGACAGGACATTTTGCAGGGGTGGGATTGGGGGTGACGAGAGATATGTGAGGGTGGCCTGGAAATCTCCCCACCTCTCAGAGACATATTTGGGAGGGTTCCTAGCTAAGAGCTCTGGTAGCCCAGGAAGTAGAGTGTGTTGTCAGCCCAAAGGCAGCCGGTTCAAATCCACCAGTTGTTCTGAAGGAGAAAGATGAGCAATTTCCTGTTACACAAATAATGGCCTCTGATAACCCGCTGGAGGGTCAGCTGTGAGTCAGTTCTGACAGCTTTGAATCTGAGTCTGAGTCTTGGCCGAGACAAAAGTCTCTTTTGTCTTTTGTTGAAAGCCAGTGTCGGCCACCAGACTCCTCACCGAGCCTGTGAAAAACCTGCCAACCAGCCCTGGCTTTGGCATCCCACCCAGCTCCCGACCCTGAGCACGTTTTGGTCAGTAGCACCAGACTTTTCCTGCCCGCCTCACCCCTTCCCTTCCAGCATTTCTCTTCCCCACCAGCTTTCGTTTGTTTTCCCAGTTCTTCACAAGCCATGGCACAATGTTGGCACATCTCTCCTCCCTCCCCAACCTTCTGACTCCCTTCTCCCATTCTGCCTCCCTTCTTCCAACTCACCTCAACTCGTTGCCATCAACTCTCTGTCACTGGGCCAGCAGAGCTCCACCACCCTCTCTAGTCCTCCTTAATCCCCCCTGTAAGTCTCCCCATCCAATTCTTTAAGAAAATTCCAGATTGACCTTGCCCCTTAATAAGTGGATGAGTTTAATTCACAAATCCCTCAATGATCCTTTCACTAGGCATTTCCTGAGCACATGGTTAGGACTTAAGCATCCAGAGGGAATACCTTTGGTCTCAGGATGCTCCAGTCTGGTGGGAGGGGCGGTCTGATAAAGAGTGATCACAGGAGCTGTGCAGCAGGCTGCTATCAGGCACAGACCAATAGGGCCGATGTGGGGCAGGGTTGGGGAGCTGAATCTGTTGGCAAAAAATGTTCAGAAGGTAATAATGTTCTACATCCAAATCTGGTGAGAAACAGCCTAGAGCTTGAAAACTTGCAAGCAGACATCTAAGAAATAGTTCATGATCTCTTCTCACTCAGAGCAAAGGATAATGAAGAAAGAGACTCAAGGGAGCAGTTAGTGCAAAAGGCAAATAGCCATGTGAACCTCAGTGTATCTAGCCTGAGACCGGGAGAACTAGATGGTGCCCAGCTACTATTGCTGATCATTCACCCAAGACCATCGTGGAAGGTCCCAGTGAGAGTAGGTGCAAAAGGTAGAGCTAACACTAAAGTGAAAAGAAAGACTAGGCTTACTAGTCTGAAAGGAAATAGAGAAAGCCACAAGACTGGTGCTCTAAGATAGCTGTCTAACTTGAAAGTGGACATTCTCAGAAGCTACCTTTCAGCAAAATAATTGATGAGACTGTAAAACATATAATAACACTGTAAAAAATGTGCTCCTTGGAACAATAAGACCAAAGATGAGGAGAGAGACAGAGAGAAACTAGACAAATGGAAACAGGAAATCCAGAGAGGAACTAGGAAGGGAGCGGACACATTGTGGGGACCACAACCAAGGTCATGGAACAATTTATGTATGAATTACTGACTAGAGAGCTAATTTTCTGTATAAAATTTCAACTAAACACAGTAGAATGTTGGGACGTTTTCCAAAAAAATGTACACAGACTTGAAATTCTATGAACATACTTTTCTGCACACATGGGGTCACCATGAGTTAGAATCAACTCAACAGCATTCTGTGTACCACGGAGCCTTTCTAGGGTCCTTTGGGGATTTTTCAATCCCAGAACTCCCGAGCAACCGTGTCACTGATCTGTGCTCTGTCCAACTTTGTTCTTTCAGAGGAAACGACGTTTGAAGCAGGAGTGAAAGTTCAGATTCACAGTCAGTCCGAGCCACCTTTCATCCAAGAGCTGGGCTTCGGGGTGGCTCCAGGGTTCCAGACCTTCGTGGCCACACAGGAGCAGAGGGTAAGTTCCCCGGGCTTCCTGGGCCAACAACCTCACCTACCTTTAGCCTTAGAGATATGAGGAGGAGAAATAGTACCTCTACCTCTGGCAGGCTCTGAATCCACTTAGGGGTCTGGAGTAACGCTGGGCTTGTTAAAAGGATTTACTTTGAAGGTTCTGGTTCAGATACCTATACATATGTTGGCATTACCCCGTGTGTGTATTCTAGTATTAGCATGGCGAGTAAATGAATCATATTCTTTGAAACTCATCATGTAACTTCTTCCCAGCAAAGGTTGGAGAGGAGGGTTGGATGGTCTACCTCCCAACACTCAGTTCTCCTGTTTTACCTCTTCCTTCCTAAAGTTGGTGAGGGACACACAGTTTCTTTTTACTGCTTTGATTGAGGTTCTTATTCCCCCAGAACATTCTATTACAGAAGACTTTGTGTGCAAGTTCATTTTAAAAATGAGGTGTAGAGTGTTACGAGGCACCACTAGCCAAGGTTTGTTGTTTCTTCGAATCCTAAGGGACCTGCAAAGAGAAAATAAATAAGGTGTCATTCTCTGATCATAAATTTTTGGTGAGAGGAGACTACATTTAGTGTGAGGAGGCAAGGTTTCTGCCTGCCCTTTCTTTGATGTGGCGTGGATAGGGCGAGGGACCCCACACAGCCAGGACCACCGTGATCACTCCGTGGTCAGATGGTGCAGCCTCATGTCTGACATGGGTGTTTCCCCAGTTAGGGAAAAAGTCTCAAAGCAGGACTATGAGCCACATGCAGACACAGCTGCTTTCTTAGTCCTTGGATATTTGTTCTTGCATTTGGGTTTGCCTACAATAGAAGCTGACGCCACATTCCTCCTCCAAGAGCCCAGCCTCCTGGATGATCTGTTCTGCATATAGGTTGAAAAGGTGTGGAGATAGGACACTTCCGTGGAGTATACCCTTCCTGATTTTAAACAATGCAGTGATTCCTTGCTCTGTTCTGATGACTGCCTCCTGGTCCAAATACAGATTTCACATAAGCACAATCAAATGTTCTGGGAATCCTATTCTTCTCAGAGTCAGCCACAGTTTGTTGTGATCCACACAGTCAAATACCTTTGCATAGTCAATGAAACACAGACATTCCTCTGGTATTCCCTGCTTTCAGCCAAGATCAATCTAGCATTAGCTATTATATCCCTAGTACCACAGTCCTCTTCTAAACCCAGCTTGCACTTCTGGCAGTTCTCTGTTGATATGCTGTTCCAGTTGTTTTTGGATAATTTTCTGCAGAATCTTGCTTGCATATGATATTAATGATATTGTTTGATAATTTCTGCACTCTGTCAGGTCACCTTTCTTTAAAATGGGAACAATATGGACCTCTTCCAGTCAGGTAGCCTGGTGATTGTCCTCCAGATTTCTTGGCACAACTTGGTGAGTGCATCCAGGGTAGCATCTGTTGAAATATGTCAGTTGAGGAGGACCTGAAGCACTTGCTGCAGAAGGTCAAGGACTGCAGCGTTAATACGGACTGAAGTTCAACATCAAGAAAACAAAGATTCTCACCACTGGGCCGGTAGGCAGCATCATGATAGACAGTGAAGAGATTAAGATTGTTAACAGCTTCAGTTTGCTTGGCTCCACAGTCAACACTCTTGGTACCAACAGCCAGGAAATTAAAAGACAAATTGCATTGGGAAAGCCAGCTGTTAGAGACCTCTCCAGAGTACTGAAGAGCAACAATGTCAGTCTGAAGACTAAGGTTGTGCCTGATACAGGCCATAGTCTTTGCAATTACTTGCTATGCATCAGAAAGCTGGACAATGACTAGGGAGGATATAAGGAGAATTGATGCCTTTGAGTTGTGGTGCTGGAGAAGAGTATTGAATATACTATGGACTGCTAGGAGAACAAACAGGTTCATCCTAGAGAGGGTGAAACCAAGCTGCTCCTTGGAGGAAGGATTCTGAAGCTTCATCTGGCACACTTTGGACATGTTGCAAGGGGCAATAGTCTTTGGAGAGGGATGCCATACTTGGGAGTGTAGAGGGACAGCACAAGAGAGGAAGACCCTCAATGAGATGGATTGACTCAGTGACTGGGGTAATGGGGGTGAGTGTGTCAGGGACAATAAGGTTGACACAGAATAGAGCAGGGTTTAGGGCTATTGTACACAGGGTCGGTCGCTCTCGGTCACGACACATAACAAAAACATCAATAGAAACTGGAGAGGCAGGGATTTTGAGCCAGTCCTAAACTAGATTATTGAAGATCATTGGCTCCCAGGTGGCTTTTGGCCGAGAGCTGAGAGGCAGGTAATAGTAGAAGGCACCCCTCTAGGGTGAATAAAGAGAAATGCAAAAAGAAGGGTAAAGGAGAAGGAAAGAGACATCCATAGCTTAGTAGTCTAGCTTGTTTAAAAAACAATTTCTGACCCTCTTGTCATATTTAATTTTTATATTGATCACGCCTATTTTAACCTAAAATGGTATTCTGTGTTAAAGACTTGTTTCTAACCTGTAAGAAAGCTGCATTGTCTTAACCTTGAGTAAACATTCATGGTGTGGATCTCACATTGTATTGTACTGCAATGCCAAGTCAGTCCCTAAAATGCAAAGATCAGCCTCAGTTACAGCAAGAAGGAAAGGCCAGGATTCTGGCCTGAGTGCTAAGAGTCCTAAAAAACTGAGGCAGGTGGTAAAGCGGAAGCCTAGTGTCTCAGGGTCTGCAAAGTGGAAACCAAGTGGTGCAACCAGAAGAATGCATACTAGATGCAGTTGTTGTTAGCTACTGTTAAGTCGACATTGATGCCTGATGATACAACAGGATGAAACACTGCCTCATCCTGCAGCATCCTCACAGTGCCAGCATGTTCAAGTTCATGGTCACAACTGTGGTGTCAGTCCTTCTCGCCAAGGTTCACCTGCACCCTCTGTGGCCCTTTACTTCACCAAACTGATGGTGCAGTTGATGCGAGTTAGATAATGTGTTCTTGTGGCCCATAAGCTTCTCAAGTAGATTGTCAGGACCTTCTTCCTAGTTATATCTTGGCCTGGAAGCTCTACTGAAACTTATCCTATTGATATTTGAAATATTAGTAACAAATCATCCAGTATCATGACCTCACCCAAACCACTACCGTCAGGCAAACTGGCAGGATGGTGGTAGGATGCAGACAGTCCTCAGGTGGAAGGAACATCTGTAGTTCAAGGTTTGAGTCAGTCAGAGCGAGAGACTAGCTGGTCAACATGAGCAAGTGGACAGGCAGTGTAGATGAGCTCTGACCCTAAAATATCACCGTAAGAACAAATGGAACAAGCCCCAAGTCACTAATGTACTGCCCTTGAATCCGTTCTCACACGGCACCCTCATAGGACCCAGTAGAACTGTGCCCACGAGTTTTCAAGTTGTACCTTGTTACGGAACCATCTCTTCCTCCCACAGAGCAGCTGGAGGGTTCACACCACCAGCATTTTGGTGGTCAAGCATTTTAACTACTGCGTCACCAGTGTGTCTCTTGAGCTTCTAACTCATTGCCACTAAGTTGATTCTGACTCCTAATGACCCTCTGTCTGATTTCTGAGGCTGCCTATTCCCACCGGAGGAGGATGCTCATCTTTCAAAGCAGCTGGTACATTCGAACCACCAGCCTCCCAGTGACAGCCGACACATTAAATGCTGTGTCCCCAGGACCCATTTCTAAGCTATTAGGTTCCGTTGGTGTTTGTCAGTCCTTTCTGCATGTTGCACAAGTAAAGGCACCTCCCTTCAAAGGGCCATGTGCTGGTCAGCCTAGTATGCAGCTCTTGAGGTGAGTGTTGTGCTCTTTTTGTCCAAGGCACATCTGACATGGTGGCTTGTTGAATGTACCTACCACCACTGTCATAAATTACATATTTGTGCTGACCTCTTTTTCGTCTGTGTTGCAATTAGCTTGCAGGGAAACTGAGCAATGCTCTTTGAAACCTGAAGTACCACTTCTTCTGCCAGCTTGAAAAGGTTGGAGAGGAGGGAGATCTATGTAGGTCGCTACTTTTCATCAACCTGGCGCGTGCTTATTCCCACCCCACTCCCGGCTCCCCTCCCCACTCCTGCTCCATCAGTAATGCTCAAGAAATGTCTAGGCTGGTTGGGAATTCAGAGCTGATGACTTCTAAGAGCCCTTATGCCTCCCTTTTTGTTGCCAGTATGAAACAGGGACATCCCATTGGGAGCAGGATGCAAGAATAGCATCTATTCCCAGCTTCTGAGCACAAATTTGTTGTTTTCTTTGAAGTATAGTCTCAGAAAATCAACCTCATTCATATCAGTATTACTATGATTATTATAACTAATAATAAGATATTTTGTTAAGCATTTTACTGCCTTCAAAGCATTTCCGCATCATCTCATTTCATTCATATTAATAGAGAAATACAAAAACACATCCCAGAGCTAAATCTAATAATGTATTATGTTTATATGTATATAAAGGAGCATATTCATAGGAAGTAAGACTTGGAATGAAAATAAACCAAAATACCCATGGTGGAGAATTATGAATGATTTATTTTCTTTTCTATGTTTCTCCACATATTTTATAAAGCGGCTTTGGTTTGTTTGTTCATTTGGCAAATATTTCTTGAACCCCTACTCTGAGGCAGCAGTGACTTCCAGGGATGAACAGCAGAGACTCCAGCTAAAGCCAGTGGACTGGTGGCTTTTTTAACAAAGATACAATATATGAAGTCAGATATGGAGTCCTAAGGTGGTATAAAAGATTGATGATTAAAGTGAATAGCTGCTAATCAAAAGGTTGGAGGTTCAAGACCACCCAAAGGTACCTCAGAAGAAACAACTAGCAATCGACTTCTGAAAAATTGTTGTTGTTGTGTATCATCAAGTCAGAATCAACCCACAGCTGACCCTCCAGCAGGTTTTCAGAAGCAGTAAATCACACAAGAGGAGATTAACCATCCTTCTCCCACGGAGCAGCTGGTGGATTCCAACCACGTGCCTTTGGGTTAGCAGTTCAATGCCTTACCACTAAG